AATTCAGAAGTGTCAGAAGGCAACTTCCACACATTTTTGACCGAAGTCTGAAAATCGTTGCACCCCCCCCCCCCCTCCCATTTCGTAGTGTCCCTGAAACATCCAGCTTTTTGCTCGACACAAAATCGACATCGTTACTCACAACATAGTTTTTCTCTTTCAGAGATGGCTACTCAACAAAAAATAAGGAAAATCCTAAATTTTCTGATTTCAAGATGGTGTCGCTATGATTGAGTTTTTACCGATGGGGCCTGAGCTACGTAGGGTGTCTCAGATCACCCTTCAAAATCGGCGGGGAGTCTGAGACCCCCCTTCCCCCGCCGATTAGCACTGGCCCTCCCCCCCCCCCCCCCCCCCCCCCTTTTCTCTTTCTGAATGTTGAAGTTAAAGCCTCTAAGCAAGCAGTCTATCTATGCTGGAACGCAAACTTAATGATGTAGAAAACTGCATTGGGCACTGATTGGCTATTCTCTCGGGTCACGTGACATGACGTTGAAATGTAGTTTTTCCCTATGCAGTACGAGCTATGCTCGTAAAAGATGCAGTTGGCTGTGAGGCCAAAATGTCGTCACGATGCACTTTAACGATGCAGTTAACCATTTTGACGATGCAGGTGAAAGATCAAGACGACGCCGGAGATCGTTCTGCATCGTAAAAGATAACGACCTAACATATGCATCTCTACTGTTGGGTTTGCCAGCAAATCGAGTTTTTAGAGATACCGGGGTGCTTTTGAGACGAGCGACACAAGGTTTGTGGGCGAATACCGGCTGATCAAAGGGGTGACTCGCTGGCTGTGTGACCAGCTTCGCGGAAAGCTCCAGCGGCGTCGCGAAGGGCCCCGTGTGCTGGCGGTCGAACAACAAGTCCTCGCAGCTCTGCACTTTGACGCCGCTGGCGGCTTCCAGGGAACCGTCAGGAGCGACGAAAACATTGGTGTTCACCAGTGCTCTGTGAGTCGCGTACTTGTTGATGTCACCAACTCTATCATCCATTGCCTCGGATCGAAGTGGCTCTGTTTCCAGCAAACTCAAGCAGAGAAGGCGCTCACAAAAAGGAAGTTCTTCGAGTGATGCACATTCAGCGGCGTGATCGATAAATATTCTAAATACTCTTAAACGATTAAACACGATTGCGTTTTCAATTGAGTGCACCCATACACCGTGATGCCATATAGGCGATTTGGCTGTGCGAAAAGGCAAGCCAGTTCTTTCAAACTTCAGTTAGAGGGAGAGAGATATATACTTTATTTTAAAGCAACTAGTTCAGGTAAGGCGAGCTGAACCAGAATAAACATACACATAAAAAAAAAGACCATACACACCGTGGGACTAACAACTGAGTTTCTTTTTCCTCCTCGTCCACTACAAACCCAACTTGAGGTTTATTGATGCAATAAGAGGAAATCAGAGATGTTAGCCGGGAGTACAATCTCCTGATTGGCTACTCTGGTGGGAAAGGGGTAAGGGATATCACAGAGTTAAGAAAGAGGAAAAGAAACATAGAGAACGAAAGAGACACAATCACGCATAACACACACACAACCATTTGGACAAGGGAGTTCAGTGCATAGCATTAGAGTCTCTTATCCAGGCCTGTTGCTGAAAGAAAACGGAGGAGGGCCTTTGTGGTGTTTAAAGCACAGTTTTCGTTGTTCCATGGCCCCAGGAAGTGCTGTATTGTAAGGGCTGGTCCCGGAGGCTTCCTAATGTCTTGTGAAAATAGTTTTCGCTGACCATCATAACCTGTACATTGAAGTAAAATGTGTTGAGTATCTTCGATAGTTCCACATACGGAGCAGTTTGGGGACTTTAATTTCCCCATAAGATGAAGGTAATAGTTAGTGTAGGCGACCTTGAGCCGAATCCTATGGAGAACCGCTTCCCGTCTTCTCTTCAGGCCTCCAGGCACTCGAAACCGTAAGTGCGGGTCAATATGTTTTAGAGAGGAGCTTTGGTTAACATCCTCTTTCCGGAGGCTCGTTGCGGCCGATTTCCCCAATATCGCCACTCTTGAACAGACGTCCGATTTTGTAAATGGTGCTAGGACTTTTTGGGCAGATTCGTGACCCTTTGCAGCCATAGAGTCAGCCATTTCGTTACCCATGACACCACAGTGACTGGGTACGCACTGGAATGATAAATCGGCCACCAGTTCAGCAGCCGTAGATGAGGTTTTGTGGGACAGCTTGTAACCAGCTTTGATATGAGAAATATTCTCTTTTCTTCTTTTTTGCTTCCTCCTTCTCCAAAAATATAACCCCCGAAGGAAAGTCTTTCTTTCTCGTGCAGCACGAGGGAAGTTGCACTAACGCAGTCAAACAAAGTCAAAAAGTAAAATTTGTCGTTAGTTGCTTATACAGCAGGAGGTTAGTCTGCCTGAACATGGCGGCATTGTTACCCACTGTAGATAAGCAATTTAGCCAGTGCAGTACGACTGCTAGCCCGGGGTCTTTAACGTGCGTCACGCAGTAGTGATAAACGACCACACGCTGGTACGATGCTCATCCAGATCGAAACCAGCAGGGGTGGGGATTGAACCCAGGATCCCTGGGTTCTGCAGCGCGAGCTTTCGCTCCACGTGCTCCGAACTGGTGTGCACTAACCCACTCGGCGATTCTCGGAAATTCTCTGTAGGAGAAAAAAAAACTATGTAGTTTCAACTGAATCGCCACTGTTCGGCGACGTCACCGGACACGTCACGGTGCAGTTCTTTTTCGATGGAGTTTGTTGGCGATGGAGGTTAGTCTCCTCCCACCGGCGACGTCACGATGCAGTTTCTCCGCCGCTTTTTCCTGCATAAACAGACTGGTCCTTTGAGTAGCGACGCTTGAGCCTTCTTAAATGCGAGCTGTAAGCATTGTTGCGAGTTACCTTGTGTTTTACTAGAAACAACGCCGGGTCCCAAATCTGGTTGGAGCTTTTAAGATAACGTCATAATTCCGCTTGGTAACTTTTCTCCACGATTCAGAGGTGCCTGAAGGGGGTGAAACACCCCCCCCCCCCCCCCCATCATATTCTCAGAAAACAAACTCAGCTAAGCAAAAGGTCACAAAAAATAAACCAACGATATCTGGTTTTCTCTGCCTTGCACCCCTCTTCTAACCGCGCACCTTCAGGCTGGCGCAAGAACCAACAGATGGCGGCAGCGCGGCCCTGGCATTTTGCATTTGTATTTGGATATGCGGCTAACCCTTTTGCTTCGGGGGATCCCAGCGGTGCTGTCTTAAGGGGACTTTCAGTGTTTCAGGCATTACCGAAAAAAAGTAACAAAATACGTTATTCGCTACTCGCGAAATAAAGAAACGCGTTACCAACCTAGGTTACTTTAAAATAAGAGAAACGCGTTACAGTTACCAATGAAGAGTAACGTACGTTACGTTTACGTTACTTTTTATTTATGAACTGACGATAAGAGCGTTTGTCTGGCCAAAGTGTTTTTTTGAACCTGGATAAAAGAGTGTGGGGGGAGGGTTCTTTTCTAAAGTGTGACATTTTGCGAGCGGAAAAGAGAGGCAAAACGTTTATGGTATGTAGAATCAGCGCAATAATTAATTCCTTGGCGCCTATACTTCGGTTCAGCACAAGTCCAGAAGCAGCCGTCGCTACGAGCTAAGGGGATAATTCAAGCAGCCTCAAAAGCGCATTTCACTGGGCCTTTTCTTTGTTTATGATTAGTTCAACGAATACAGAACACGTACCGAAACAAAACCGGTGCCCTTTGGACGCTGTCTGATTCGTTTATCAGCTCGTAGCATCGGCTGCGTCTGGACTTAAGGTAAAACGAGATGTAAAAACACGAAAAAAATTTAGGTGTACTCTTTTCATGTTTTGGGAAGATGTAATGAGCAACCTAACATCGTTACCTGTTATTCAATACAAGTGACGTAAGTACGTTACCCGTTATTCTCTTAAAAAGTAACCAGTGCGTAATTACTACGTTACCGAAAAAAGTAACGCGCTACCGCCTACACTGCTCAGGAACTGGACGGTCGCTCCAAAAGTAGACGACATCTAGCTGAAATTACTCGAAGAAACATGGGTTGTATTTGTTATATCTCCATTTAATCTCTTCTATTCAGAACGAGAAAAAAAATTATGCACTCACCAATATAGCACTTAAAAAGCTTGCGTCGGTTATAATTCGGAGAGGTTCTCCAGACTACCATATAGCATCATCTCTACTGAAAAAAGGCTCGCGGATTGCCACGAGACGCGGCCGCCAAAAGTGAAAAGATAGTGTGTCAGAACAAGACTCATGTAATGGGCGCCCCGCTGCGACGAGACGCCGAAACACACTTGTCCCGAGCGATGGAATGTCCTCTCGTGCTTCTCGTGTTCCTCGGGCTAGCGCTTCTTTTCTCGTCGGGTTTGAAAACCATGTTTTGGGTCTTCGCCGCTGCAAAAGTTGTGCGCTGAATACCAGACTCCCGAGAAATGCTCTGTGCCACCAGATCCTCCCGCTCCAAGTCTGCGACGGGGCACTCTATGGTTCCGTCATCCAACTGCCAGGCTTTGTAAGTATAGAGGAGGCTACGATACTACTAGAAGCTCCGCCATCACCACGAGCTTTCTATCATCGCTAACATAAGTGTGAACGCGCAGGCATGCGCAACGAAAGCACTACGAAAGTCAGCGAGCTCGCTCTGGCGCGGTGGCGGGTTCTGAGCTGCTGTTAACCGCCGGGTCCGTGCTGCCTCCATTTGTTGGCTGTTTTTGCCAGTCAGGGGTCGCTAAGCTCCATTTAGTCCCCTCCCTCTTCCCCTTATACTCGTCTGCTGTACACCGATCGCACTTGGATAACTTTCCTCAAGAGGTTTCGATGTAATCTTTCAAATTATAAATGTACGTTTTAAGAAACACAACGTTAATCTGAAGGCGTTCACCAATCAAGAATGGCAACTAAAGCGACGCTCTTAGTCGTGCACGTCACCAATGGGAGCAAAAAAAAAAACGTCCCTAAAAAAGAATACAGCAGAAGCACAAACAAAGAGATCTTACTAAATCGGAGTCCGGTAGAAGATTAAATTTCTTCCAGAGCCGGATGAAGGCGTCGCTTGTAAACCGCAGTTGGCTGCTTGCGTACCGTCCGCCACCTGCAGGGAAAAAGCAGTTGTGAAGACACAGGTATGGTGCCTGGTGCCTATACTTTACTCCAATGTAAAGAGTGACGAATGTTGAAAAATGCTTCCGGTGATATATGGGCAAAAGTAATGAGCGCAGACACAGCAGCCGTAGGATGATAAAAATAAAATTCTAATTTAATGGCGAAAAACGTCATTCAAGAAAAAACGGTGAAGTGCCGAAAAAAAGTTGTATTAATTTACGGGAATAATGAAGACTAGGCACAAGAACGCTAATTACGCGGGAAAGAAACTTTTAAGCAGGACCGAGTAAAGGTCAAAGTTAACACACAAGAACTTACAAAAATAAATTTTTAAATGAAAAATAAAATACAGAATTAAAAATAAAAAAAAATTAATAAAAATTAGAAAGGGGCCTGACGTCCGTCGACGTTTCGGCAGTGGCACTGCCTTCTTCAGGACGGGAGCCCATATGGCGCGGTAGGTTAGTTTTATAAAATATCTAGGGAGAGGGTTAGTTAACGCGAAAGTTCGAAGGGGTTTGACGGGAAAGGGAAGCACGGGGGAGACGAGTCCAATTTTGTCGTGATGAGGGAGGCGGTTCTGGGTTTTGTTCACAGGTGCGCTGGTGGTATGAAGGAGCTTATAGGGAAGGGGAACACAGAGGGCAAAGTCCAATCTTGGCGCGATGAGGCATGACGATTGTAGGTTCCGTTCGCCGGTGCATTGGTAGCAGAAGGGGCTTTCAGGGAGAGGGAAGCGCTAGGGGGGATGAGTCCACTGATGTCGCGGTGAGGGATTAAGGTTGCGGATTTTGTTCGGGAGCTGCATTCCTGGGTAATTACGGTGCAGTGAGTGAGTCGTGGCGCCCTCTTCCTCCTTGTCCCCGAGGGCTGGTACGTCCAGACCCAAGAAGGAAGAAAAAAAAGAAAAAAAAAAGAATTAAGTAGGGCGGGGATGTCGCGGCAGATGGTTGTTTAAGCTGCTATTGTTGACAGAGTACCCGAATCTTTGATAATTTTGCACTGGAATTTATGAATTAGGAACGACTCGCGGATTTCTTTATTTGTTTGAGTCTTGAAGCCACTCTGTATGATGACTAATTTTTCCTCCGTTATTATATGTCCATTCTGGCTGAAATGTTTGGATACTGGATGGTCGGGTTTGCACCTAACGTTGGACTTATGGCCTTTGTATCTTTGACGAAACGTGGATTTAGTTTGTCCAATGTACTGCTCTTTACATTTTGACATTCAATAAGGTATATTACATTGTCTGAGTCACAGTCGACATCGCTGCTAATCGTTTGACGGAAGTGCGAATTTGTGCTAGATACAATGTTAGTGGAAAGCGTTTGACGGCATATCTTGCAAGGAGATGTTCCACATGGTCTACATCCCGTTGGTTTTGAATGACTTTCTTCATTTAGTTTTGCACGCACGAGATTGTCACGAATGTTTCGAGGTCGTTTGAAAACCGCTCTGGGCGCGTCGGGGAATATTTCTTTAAGTTTAGTCGATTGCTCTATCAAGCACTGATGTTTCCTTAAGATCGAGCGGATGGCTGGGAGGTTATTTCTGTAGGTAAGTGTGAGGTTCACAGGATTTTTGGGGTGCATTTCGCGTGGTGCCCGGAGAGAGTATTAAATTACGATCTTTTGCACGTGCCTTGTCTATCGCGTTATCAACTAAGGCCGTTGGGTATTCACGTCCCCGGAACGCCTCCCTGAGTTGTTCTAAATCTCCGTCTAGATCGTCATCGTTTGAACAGATTCGGCGGCATCGGAGGGGTTGACTATAAGGGATGGCTGTTTTGGAATGTCGGGGGTGCGAGCTTTTGAACGAGAGATATTGCTGTGAATCGGTTGATTTTCGGAAGAGTGTGGTGCTTAATACACCATCTACGAGTTTCACAGAGACATTCAAGAAGTTGTTACTTGTGAGGGAATAAGAGCTTGTGAATTTTATAGTAGGTTGAAACTGGTTAAAATTTTCAATGAAAGAAAGTAGATCGCTAAGGCCGTGCTGCCAAATTATAAATAGGTCGTCAATATATCGTTTGTACAAGAGAGGGGTTAGCGCGCATTGTCCCAAGAAACTGTCCTTTAAAACTCCCATGAATACGTTCCCGTAGTTTGGTGCCATTTTTGTACCCAGTGTTGTGCCATTAGTTTGAAAATAATGGTTGTCCTCTAATTCGAAATTATTAGTTTAGTATTAAATCCAAAAGTTTTGAGAGAGTCTCGGAGTTGACAAGGTTGTCTTTTTTGCGGTTGTAGGCGGAAGCGGTGGCCTGAATGCCATTGGCATGTGGTATGTTGGTGTACAGTGAGGATACATCTAAGGTTACCAATAGCGCGTTTGGGGGAAAGTCGACATTAGAATTGAGATTTAGAAAGTGTGTCGTCTCTTTGATGTATGAGTTAAAAGTTTCGGGGAGATCTTTAAGGAGGTAGTCTACAAAATTTGATAAGTTTTCAGTCACAGTGCTATTCGACGAGACAATAGGTCGGCCTGGGTTTCCTGGTTTGTGAATTTCGGGTAGGAGATAAAAGCGTCCTGCTTTGCAGTGGTGGGAGTGAGAAAGCTTAAGAGGTGGTCATCTATTTTGTTCTCTTTATGCAAGCGCCTTAGGACCCGGGCGATGGTAGCTGCATAGTTAGCAGTCGGATTAGAAGTTAGGGCGGTATAAAAGTGTTGGTCACTGAGTTGACGCGGGGCTTCTGTTTTATACATGGCGGTATTCATTACAACTCTGGCCCCTCCCTTGTCCGCCGGCCTGATCACAATGTCATTCCTTTGTTGAAGGTTCTCCAGACTTTTTTTCTCGTCGGGTTTTAGGTTACTTTTTTTTACCGTACGAGTCTTTGCGTCTACAATGCATCAAAACATCTTTTTGAATTCCCCTTACGTATAGGTCTAGATTCAGATCTTTGCTAGCGAATGGTGTAAACTTGCTGGATTGTCTAAAGGGATGGATAGGGGGAGAGAAATATTTTTGTGAAAGTGCTCCCAAAGGCGGAGATTTCGAGCGAAATTATGTAGGCAGAGCTGCATTACGTAGGTCGAGGTGCACCTCGACCTACATAATTTCGCTCAAAATCTCCGCCTTCGGGAGCACTTATTTATTCCCAAAAAGGTTTACCGTTTTTTTTTTCGGTGAATATGAAAGAAACACTATCGGACACCGGATCAGATGATTCTTGTAGCTGTGATATTTGTGAGTACTCAAAGAATAACGGCACATATACATACGTGGTCTTCGCTACAACTTCCGTCAAGACACACCTCAAAATCGCGGAATTCGCGGGCATAATTTTCAGCACGCTTCTTTTTCTTTCCCATCATAACGACGAGACATGCCGAACCTACAAGCTGACCTTCTTCGGTTAAAACCGAATTTCCGAAAGTGAATTCGGCGTACTTTTATCGGCTTTTATCGGTTTAAACCGAGAACTCCGAACCCTAAATATTACCCACGGCATTTTGATGGCAGCCTGCCACCACAACTGTCACAACGCTGTCTGCCACGGTTGGATGATAGTGGCTACAGCAGCTGCACCTTCATAGAGATCAGTGGGTGTAGCTGAAAGCGAAAGAAACAGACGACACGCAGACGAAATCCGTCGGTCAGCCAGAGCACCGTCGTTATGCAACCGTGTTTTTAGAGCGCAGCGCTTAAGGGCCAGTTTCCGGCTTGAGCGGCGTCGGCGTCGCCGTTTCCGTCAGCGTCGCCGTCGCCGTCGCCGTCGGCGTAACCGCGCGGTGCATTATGGGTAAATTTCCCCGCTAAATCTAGTGGAAAAATTTCCCCGCTAGATTTAGCGGAAAAATTTCTCCGCTAAATCTAGCGTAAAAATTTTCCCGCTAGATTTAGCGGAAAAATTTCCCCGATAAGTCTAGCAGAAAAATTTCCCCGCTAACTCTAGCGGAAAAAAATCCCCGCTTAATCTAGCGGAAAACTTTTTCTGGGGGGTCACGTGACCCCCCAAGGTCACATGACCCCCCCCCCCCCCCCCGCCCCGAGAACAGGTAACCCTAAGTACCCTTCCCTCCTCCTCCTCAAGAGCTGCGCTCTAATTCGGTGTTACAGGGAGTTGTAAACGGCTCTCATTTTTTTTTAATTTTTACTTTAAGTTTGATATTTATTGTTTGCATTTATTTTTAAACACAAGGTGCACAACATACACAATTTTGGTAATTTTAATTTACCACGGTTCTCTGGAGCAGTCTCGATAAGGAGGTAGCGCCATCTATGAATATGTGTGCCATGCGCGCTCCACTACTTCACTCCGTCGTTTCCGTCGCTGTCTGCCGTTCACCCTTGCTGGTTTTTTGGGTCTATTTCTTACACAACGGAAGATACACTGTATTTTTAGAAGATAAAACCGACCTGTGAAATACAATTTCGACGAATATATTAGATTGCTACATTCAGGCGTCGATTTTTACGGCCCATATTAGGTCGAGCCTGGCTCTTTGAGTCACCCTATATTTTATGACCACTAAAATGGCAGCCACAAACTAATGGATAGGTTTATTTGAAAGACACAGAAATAAAGAAAAAATTTTTAACTGGTTTATCTAAAAACGTATTTTCTTTCAATTAAAAAATTGCGCAATATTTACGCCGTCAGGCGCAATTTAGGGGGAGATAGATGACCCTAGGTCCCGGTCAGGAACGTAGTTAACTACGCTCTATTTCTTGGCTCTCATTGATTGGAGATATGATTGACGTGTGGAATATTCGTTGTAAAATTGCTTCTTTGTGCCGCGGTAATTTTTTATTCGATACATTTTATGTTTGAGAAACAATCTATATTGATAGAGTCATTGTTTAAAAAAAGAAGATCACGAGAACGCATTTTTTTTTATTCGAGTTCAAACGATAACAAACAAGGCTGTTGGCGTTCGCGGCCAACGTTTTTCGCACCCCGAGGCTTGTCGAGCTCGCTTTTTTTTTATGAGTGCGAGTCGTTTCGCCTTCACCCACGTGTTTATTGGAAGATATCCTCAAACGATATATTTTGCAGCAGACAACTGTCGCAAGTACACACCTTCGGAAGCGCTGTGCGGGTTCTTGTTTTCGTAGCCATGACTGGCCTAGGCCTAGCGTCCTACGCCAACTATGTTGCTTGATCTGGCTTAATTTGCTCGTTTGCGCGTGTTGATGCTAAAGAAGGAGGTTGGTTCCCGTAAAAGCGGTCCCGCTGCTCTATGAACTGTGCAGTCATCGTGATTCCAGCAATGTTTTCGATAGGGAGAAGGGGCCTGCACATGTAAAGATTTGCGAGCCGTTTGGCTAGAGGCCATCGGGCGTTCGCGTAGCATCAAGTTTGTCCAGGTATGTTTCCGTCATTTCGCTTCGAAAGACAAGTAGCTTTCAAGTTCCGCAGTGTACTTCCCTTGCCAAAGCGAATATTTTTAGGTTACGTTTTAATTGTGCGTCATGACGCTCACCCACTTTTCTGTCAGATACCGTGCGAAAAAAAGGACATAACGAGAACAGAACGAGGAAGGACTGCATATTTTTTAGTCCACGGGGTCGCTGTTTACCAAACATTTCGACCGACGCTGACAGACGCTTTTATTGGAACGTCGCTCGTTCATGATGCAAAGCTAAAATGCCGTCTTCATGGTCGCGTCTGGCGAGCGCCTCAGAATGTTTTACACGGGGACGGAATAGCCGGCGGACGAAGGAGAAAACGGGCGCCATTGCGCAACTTTCATGACCGTGCCTCGCGGGCATTGCAGACGACCACAGACGGCAGCGGAATAGCAGACGACGCCCGGGGCTGCTACGCGTCTGCTCGAATGACTAGCAGGCGGTGCCAGACACCAGACTAGACGCACCAGATGTCGCGCAAGGGAGACACTAGGCTTCCAAGCGTGTTCGGCCGAGCAGTCAAGCCAATCCACTAGTAATGGGTGGGGCTACTAATATCTGGGTTGGATTTAGAGCGTGGCGTGACCTCGACTTAAATTGCGTCTCAAAGCTTATGTGTTACGCAAAAAATTGTTTTCCTGCACAGATTAGAAAAAAAAAAAGATAGTGAAAAGTTAGACAAACACACAACAGAACATTAAAACAGTTTTAATACAGAAACAAAACACGAAAACCTTACCAGTTACCGCACTAACGACGAGGCCAATAAAGATAGTCAAAACAGCCGTCAGAACTCCACTCCAGTAGGCGGACAGCCGGTAGAGCAGGAAAATATCTTTCTTTCTGCACAAGAGAAAGTTAAAATCGAAGATATGTGGAGCCATAGCCTCCTCTATACGGAGAAAGCCTGGCACATCGACGACGGAGCCACAGAGCGCGCGGTCGCAGGAAAAAAGAGAGGAGGAGCGCGCCGAACGGTGACCAATATGGTAGCGCAGAGCAGAAAGGGCAGACCTAGACAGCGAGCGCTTGGGTCATGAGCGGCCGCTCCCCGAAACACGCTTGTTTTTGTGTTTTCGTCGCCATCGTTTTTGCACTCCGGGAGAAACGGGCGCGGCGATTCGAAAGGGCACAGGGAGAAACGGGAAAGGGTGGACGTTGAGTTTCTCCTCTCCACGATAGCGACAAGAAGAGAGAGAGAGAAAAAAAAAAAGATTGTTTCTGCGTTTGGCCGCTCGCTCTTTTGTGGCGCTAGCAGACAAGGTTCTCTCCGCTCCCGTTTCTCCGCCCCTCCTTTCCCATTTACGGCGGCCGTCTTTTCACGCGACGCGCCAGGCTTTCTCCGTATAGAGGAGGCTATGGTGGAGCACATAATGCTCTACGACTTTAGTAGAATAATCAGGTGCGATTTCGTTAAGCATACTGAACCTTTCACGGGTCATGGAAAGTGGGCATCTGGAACGATGTAGGGACTGTGCTTGAATAATTTTCCTCGTAGCTGGCCGGCGAACAACGTATTTGAGAGCAAAAATTATCACGATATTTGTTGTTGGAGTCACCGAGATGCTGGTAGTGTTCTTTTAGAGAGAAGTATAGATGTATCCTCGCGATAGTAAGATTTAGCCAAACAAACCTGTCCATCAGAGATTTCAACATGACTTGAAGCACGATTTGCTGCTAGGCTTGCGTTGCGCCGGCGTGGAGTGTTTAGTGTATCGCTATTCAGTCTATCACTAAATACGCCTAAACAAAAATATGACTACGTTTGACAGCTTGAAGTATTAGCGGCGAGATGTTTTGGTGGCGCCCTCCTATGGTTCCCCCTTGTGACGTCATTACCTTGCCAACAATAAGTTCGATGGTGTTTGTAAATAACATGGTGGAAGCTTGAAATCACTGAGCTCTTAAAGCAACACTGCCAACACCGTCAAAATTAAAGTTCTTTCATTCCTCTTACTTCCGTCGATGATAAATCCCCTTTCCGACGTCATAGTCAGCGTTCGGCCAATCGTGAAAGGCCGACCACAGCGACGCTTTTGGTCGCGCACGGGGCTGATAGGTGCAGTAAGTACCCTTTCGTAAAAACATCTCAGGGCGTGTTCATTGCTGCATTTGTGCCTCTTGCACAATACTTTCCTGTCTCGCCGCCGTTTTGAGTGCGCGATGATCGAACTATGATCTGCGATGCTTAGAACGTGTATCCAACTGGTGTGATTTATGGTGTCTTTGTTATGAGATTGTTGTATTCTTTCAGATGATGTTACAAGTCGGGAGTGCTGAAAAGGGACGGGAACTTGCACTTTTACTCTTTGCCTCGGTGGTAGTGTGTCTTGTAGCCTTTCATTGCGATCTAAATAAAACTTATAACTTAACAAACTGCAGTATCCTTTAGACTCTAGTAGCCGGCACCCGGTGTATTGTACGCAAAAGCAAATTTAGAAAGAAATAAAAATGCTCTTTTATTGATATGTCAGTCTAGTGCATGGTGTGAACCCGGCCAATATTGTAGCCTATCGAGCATCAATCCCGCCTTCTTTTATGCTTCATGAAGCTATGAATTAACCTTGTACAGCATATTGCAGCGGTTCTGTTCCCGCCACCACCAGAACCCGAAATCGACACCGATTCTGCGGTTTCCAACTTGGCACGTCCACTCTCATTACCTCTCTTCCTGGGATAGCCAGGCATGAGTGACGTTTGCGCCGACGAAGGTGAAGTTTCCGGGACAGTTGTCTAGCGTCACAGGCATCCGCGGCGGGTGGACGCCGACCAGGAGTTTTCCCAGCACGGCCCAAGTTTGAAGAACCATCGTTATGATGACCGACACTGCGGCGCCCTGCATTCGTATGACAGTTGTTTAAATGGGTATTGGGGTGAACTTAACCGTGGTTTGTTTTCACCAAAATATATCGTGCTACCGATAGAGCTATGTTCTATACAGGAAATAAATAGGCACCGATAGTCTATTAGATTATATCACGTATTTTTTTTTACTTCTATTCTTTGTAAATGCTGAACAATTGATATTAATATAAATGACAGTCAATATAAAGCAACATTTTGGGAGTATCTTTGATCTGAAAGGGGCGATGCAATGGTTTTTGTACTTAGCGCGAATGAAACTTAGAACGGATTCCTGATGTTAATGAGCTAAGAAACTCTCGTTCGTTTTTCACCACACCCAATCGAAGACACAGAAAAAATTAAAAAAAACTAGCAGCGTTTACCCCTTCAACTCGCAGACAGAACAAGCGGCCACATGAAATGGAGCCGATGACTGCCGCCAAAGTTAATCATAGCCCCGCGCTGGGGTTGGGAAGGCACAGGACACGCGCTGAGTTCCAGACATCGTTATGGTTCGGCTGTTGTCGTCATTGCATGGATTGGACACGGGCTACTACCCGAATACTTCAAGAGGGATTGATTATCACGAGCCCAAATCCAGTGCCCACACCATGCTAGGGCCCAATCTTTGAGCCGCATTCAAATATCATCACTACAGGATACTGCGATCCCTCACTTACATCATCAGGTTTCCCGAAGGAAAGATAGAACGAAATTGCTAGCACTTGCCCTTGAAATTACACCGCAAAATAGAGGCATCTTGGCCAGTGGCGTTGCGGGCGGGTATCGTCGAGTCCCACTAGTGCCAGTAAGCTCGTGTAACGTTAAAACATTCCAATGGAATATCGTTGCACCTTGAAGTTACAACACAACAAAGAAGCTTCTGGGCAAGTGGTGTTCCGTGCGACTATCCTCGAGTCCCACTAGTGCAAGTGAACACGTGTAACGTTAAAACATTCCAATTGAATATCGTTGCACCTTGAAATTAGAACGCAGGAAAAAAGCTTCTTGGCCTGTGGCGTTGCGTGCGACTATCCTCAAATCCCACTAGTGCCAGTAAGCTAGTGTAACGTTAAAAACATTTCAAATGAATATCGTTGCTCCTTGAAATTACAACACAACAAAGAAGCTTCTTGGCCAGTGGCGTTGGGTGAGAGTATCCTCGAGTCCCACTAGTGCCAGTAAGCTCGCGTGACGTTAAAAATATCCCAATTGAACATCGTCGCACCTTGAAATTGCAACGCAAAAAAGAAACTTCTTGGACAGTGGAGTTGCGTGCAAGTATCCTCGAGTCCCACTATTCTACCAGTAAGCTCGTGTAACGTTAAAAACATTCCGATTGAATATCGTTGCGCCTTGAAATTACAACGCAACGAAGAAACTTCTTGGCCAGTGCAGTTGCGTGCAAGTATCCTCGAGTCCAGCTATTGTACCAGTAAGCTCGTGTAACGTTAAAAGCATTCCGATTGAATATCGTTGCACCTTGAAATTCCAACGCAACAAAGAAACTTCTTGGCCAGTAGAGTTGCGTCCGAATATCCTCGAGTCCCACTAGCGCCAGTAAGCTTGTATAACGTTAAAAACATTCCGATTGAATATCGTTGCGCCTTGAAATTACAACGCAACGAAGAAACTTCTTGGCCAGTGCAGTTGCGTGCAAGTATCCTCGAGTCCAGCTATTGTACCAGTAAGCTCGTGTAACGTTAAAAACATTCCGATTGAATATCGTTGCACCTTGAAATTCCAACGCAACAAAGAAACTTCTTGGCCAGTAGAGTTGCGTCCGAGTATCCTCGAGTCCCACTAGCGCCAGTAAGCTCGTATAACGTTAAAAACATTCCGATTGAATATCGTTGCGCCTTGAAATTACAACGCAACGAAGAAACTTCTTGGCCAGTGCAGTTGCGTGCAAGTATCCTCGAGTCCAGCTATTGTACCAGTAAGCTCGTGTAACGTTAAAAGCATTCCGATTGAATATCGTTGCACCTTGAAATTCCAACGCAACAAAGAAACTTCTTGGCCAGTAGAGTTGCGTCCGAGTATCCTCGAGTCCCACTAGCGCCAGTAAGCTCGTATAACGTTAAAAACATTCCGATTGAATATCGTTGCGCCTTGAAATTACAACGCAACGAAGAAACTTCTTGGCCAGTGCAGTTGCGTGCAAGTATCCTCGAGTCCAGCTATTATACCAGTAAGCTCGTGTAACGTTAAAAGCATTCCGATTGAATATCGTTGCACCTTGAAATTCCAACGCAACAAAGAAACTTCTTGGCCAGTAGAGTTGCGTCCGAGTATCCTCGAGTCCCATTAGCGCCAGTAAGCTCGTATAACGTTAAAAACATTCCGATTGAATATCGTTGCGCCTTGAAATTACAACGCAACGAAGAAACTTCTTGGCCAGTGCAGTTGCGTCCAAGTATCCTCGAGTTCAGCTATTGTACCAGTAAGCTCGTGTAACGTTAAAAGCATTCCCATTGAATATCGTTGCACCTTGAAATTCCAACGCAACAAAGAAACTTCTTGGCCAGTAGAGTTGCGTCCGAATATCCTCGAATCCCACTAGCGCCAGTAAGCTCGTATAACGTTAAAAACATTCCGATTGAATATCGTTGCGCCTTGAAATTACAACGCAACGAAGAAACTTCTTCGCCAGTGCAGTTGCGTGCAAGTATCCTCGAGTCCAGCTATTGTACCAGTAAGCTCGTGTAACGTTAAAAGCATTCCGATTGAATATCGTTGCACCTTGAAATTCCAACGCAACAAAGAAACTTCTTGGCCAGTAGAGTTGCGTCCGAGTATCCTCGAGTCCCACTAGCGCCAGTAAGCTCGTATAACGTTAAAAACATTCCTATTGAATATCGTTGCGCCTTGAAATTACAACGCAACGAAGAAACTTCTTGGCCAGTGCAGTTGCGTGCAAGTATCCTCGAGTCCAGCTATTGTACCAGTAAGCTCGTGTAACGTTAAAAGCATTCCGATTGAATATCGTTGCACCTTGAAATTCCAACGCAACAAAGAAACTTTTTGGCCAGTAGAGTTGCGTCCGAGTATCCTCGAGTCCCACTAGCGCCAGTAAGCTTGTATAACGTTAAAAACATTCCGATTGAATATCGTTGCGCCTTGAAATTACAACGCAACGAAGAAACTTCTTGGCCAGTGCAGTTGCGTGCAAGTATCCTCGAGTCCAGCTATTGTACCAGTAAGCTCGTGTAACGTTAAAAGCATTCCGATTGAATATCGTTGCACCTTGAAATTCCAACGCAACAAAGAAACTTCTTGGCCAGTAGAGTTGCGTCCGAGTATCCTCGAGTCCCACTAGCGCCAGTAAGCTCGTATAACGTTCAAAACATTCCGATTGAATATCGTTGCGCCTTGAAATTACAACGCAACGAAGAAATTTCTTGGCCAGTGCAGTTGCGTGCAAGTATCCTCGAGTCCAGCTATTGTACCAGTAAGCTCGTGTAACGTTAAAAGCATTCCGATTGAATATCGTTGCACCTTGAAATTCCAATGCAACAAAGAAACTTCTTGGCCAGTAGAGTTGCGCCCGAGTATCCTCGAGTCCCACTAGCGCCAGTAAGCTCGTATAACGTTAAAAACGTTCCGATGGAATATCGTTGCGCCTTGAAATTACAACGCAACGAAGAAACTTCTTGGCCAGTGCAGTTGCGTGCAAGTATCCTCGAGTCCAGCTATTGTACCAGTAAGCTCGTGTAACGTTAAAAGCATTCCGATTGAATATCGTTGCACCTTGAAATTCCAACGCAACAATGAAACTTCTTGGCCAGTAGAGTTGCGTCCGAGTATCCTCGAGTCCCACTAGCGCCAGTAAGCTCGTATAACGTTAAAAACATTCCGATTGAATATCGTTGCGCCTTTAAATTACAACGCAACGAAGAAACTTCTTGGCCAGTGCAGTTGCGTGCAAGTATCCTCGAGTCCAGCTATTGTACCAGTAAGCTCGTGTAACGTTAAAAGCATTCCGATTGAATATCGTTGCACCTTGAAATTTCAACGCAACAAAGAAGCTTCTTGGCCAGTAGAGTTGCGTCCGAGTATCCTCGAGTCCCACTAGCGCCAGTAAGCTCGTATAACGTTAAAAACATTCCGATTGAATATCGTTGCGCCTTGAAATTACAACGCAACGAAGAAACTTCTTGGCCAGTGCAGTTGCGTGCAAGTATCCTCGAGTCCAGCTATTGTACCAGTAAGCTCGTGTAACGTTAAAAGCATTCCGATTGAATATCGTTGCACCTTGAAATTCCAACGCAACAAAGAAACTTCTTGGCCAGTAGAGTTACGTCCGAGTATCCTCGAGTCCCACTAGCGCCAGTAAGCTCGTATAACGTTAAAAACATTCCGATTGAATATCGTTGCGCCTTGAAATTACAACGCAACGAAGAAACTTCTTGGCCAGTGCAGTTGCGTGCAAGTATCCTCGAGTCCAGCTATTGTGCCAGTAAGCTCGTGTAACGTTAAAAGCATTCCGATTGAATATCGTTGCACCTTGAAATTCCAACGCAACAAAGAAACTTCTTGGCCAGTAGAGTTGCGTCCGAGTATCCTCGAGTCCCACTAGCGCCAGTAAGCTCGTATAACGTTAAAAACATTCCGATTGAATATCGTTGCGCCTTGAAATTACAACGCAACAAAGAAACTTCTTGGCCAGTGGAGTTGCGTGCAAGTATCCTCGAGTCCAACTTGTGCCAGTAAGCTCGTATAACGTTAAAACATTCCGATTGAATATCGTTGTGCCTTAAAATTACAACGCAACAAAGACACTTCTTGGCCAGTGGAGTTGCGTGCAAGTATCTTCGAGTACAACTATTGTACCAGTAAGCTCGTATAACGTTAAGAACTTTCCAATTAAATATCGTTGCACCCTGAAATTACAACGCAACTGAGAAACTTCTTGGCCAGAGGAGTTGCGTGCAAGTATCCTCGAGTTGCACTATTGTACCAGTAAGCTCGTATAACGTTAAAAACATTCCA